ACTCGCACCTGGCTGGAGGACCTTGGGCAAGCCACAGTTCTCTTAGAGCTGTTCTTGAAAAAGAGCCGTTTCTGTCAAGAGCTCTCTCAGCCCCACCTACCTCACAGGCAGTGTTCCCTCTAAGCTGAGTTAGTGTGAGCTAGCTCACAGTTTTTTAGCCTCTAGATCACACATTTTTGTCTTCGCTCAGGAACGATGGCTCCAGAGCAAACTAGTTTATCCAGCAGCCAAATCTCTTGCTCACAACTTTAATGCCAGGAGCTCACAAGGTAGAATTTTTGCTCACAAGACTCCACAGCTTAGAGGGAACATTGCTCACAGGGTGCCTGTTGTGGGGAGGGGAAGGGAAAGGAGTTTGTAAGCCGCTCTGAGACACCTTTGGGTGGTGATGGGAGGGGGTATAAATCCAATCTCTTCTTCTCCTTCTACTAAAGGCTCTTGCGACTCACTCTGCAGTGCATGTGGGATAAAAGGCCAGATTTTGGAGAAGAATCCATTCGCTGGGATGTATCCCTGGAGGGGAAAAGTCTTGCGACTTGGATAATGAATCAAACTAATGCAGGGTAAGCAACTGGCATTTTTCAACAGCTTTTCGCCTCCTTGATTTCACAGTGGTTATGTTCTTGCACAGCTGAAAACACACACACTCAATTCCCTGGGGCGGAAGACAAAACAAAGTCATTTTTGAGAAGGAAAGGAGAATACACACACACACTCTACATATTCTGGAGCTCAGCCTATTAATCAATTAAGTTAAAAAAGGTAAAGGTTTCCCTTGCTTGAAAGCCAGTCAAATCCGATTCTAGGGGTGCGGCGCTCCTCTCCGTTTCCAAGCCGAAGACCCGACGCTGTCAGAAGACGTTTCCATGGTCATGTGGCCGGCATGACTAAATGCCGAGGTGCACGGAACACTGTTCCCTTCCCACCGAAGCAGTACCTATTTATCTGTTTTCAGTTTCTTGCTTTCAAACTGCTAGGCTGGCAGGAGCTGGGGCCAGAGACAGGAGCTCACTCCATCATGCGGCACACTCGGGTCTCGAACTGCCGGACTACCAACCTCCCGGTCTGCAGCTCAGCGTCTTAACAGCTGAGCCCCCCAATTAAGTTTACTTACATTTAATTATTACCAAAACCTCTAGGCGGGGTTCCCCCCCCCCCTTAAAGATCATTAAGGGAAAAGAACCCTGACCTGGGCGGCCCAGTCTAGCCTGATCGCATCAGATCTTGAAAGCTAAGCAGGGTTGGCCCTGGTTAGTATTTGGATGGGAGATCTCCAAGGAATTCCAGCATTGCATTGCTATGCAGAGGAGGAGGAGGAGGAGGAGGAAGAAGAGGAAGAAGAAGAAGAAGAAGAAGAAGAAGAGGAGGAGGAGGAGGAGGAGGAGGAGGAGACCGGATTTATACCCCGCCCTTCACTACCCAAAGGTGTCTCAGAGCGGCTTACAAACTCCTTCCCCTTCCCTTCCCCACAACAGACACCCTCCCAGATTAAAGTCCGTGCACTTCACCACCAATGTTCCCTCTAAGCTGTGGAGTCTTGTGAGCAAAAATTCTACTTTGTGAGCTGCTGGCATTAAACCTGTGAGCGAGCGATTTGGCTACTGCATAAGTGAGTTTGCTCTGGAGCCATCCTTTCCTGAGCTAAGGCAGAAATGTGTGAGCTGGAGGCTAAAAAACTGTGAGCTAGCTCACACCAACTCCGCTTAGAGGGAACACTGTTCACCACTACACCAAGCTGGCCCTCAGAGGAGGCACAAATATTACCCCTTCACTGCATGGATCGCTCAATTACGGAAAGCTTTTCCCAGCATGAACTTTGGCTAGAATACAGCTGCATGTGGAAGAGTGGGGAATCAAACTTGGTTCTCCCAGATTAGAGTCCACGCTCCTAACCACTACACCAGAAGAAGAGGAGGAGGAAGAGGAGTTGGATTTATACCCTGCCTTCCACTGGGTCTCAGAGCAGTTTACAATCACCTTTCCCCTCCCCACAACAGACACCCTGCTGTGAGGTAGGTGCAGCTGAGAGAGCTCTTGACAGAAACGGCTCTTTTTCAAGGACAGCTCTTATCAGAACTACGGCTTGCCCAAGGTCATCCAGCCAGGTGCAAGTGGAGGAGCGGGGGATCAAACCCGGCTCTCCCAGATTAGAGTCCGCACACTTAACCGCTACACCAAACTGGAAGGCAAAGACAAACCACCTTTGTACGTCTTTTGTCTTGACCTGGACAGCCCAGTAGAAAAGAGCAGGAGTCCAGTAGCACCTTAAAGACTAACTAAATTTGTGGCGGGATATGGGCTTCCGTGATACTGCTAACTTCTTTGGGTATCTGAAGAAGAGTGCCTTGCACATGAAAGCTCACACCTGAAATGAAACGTTGTCGGTCTTAAAAGGTGCCCCACTGGAAATCTACCCTGACTGTTCCCTGGAAGGCCAGATAATGAAACTGAAGCTCAAATCCTTTGGCCACCCAATGAGAAGGGAGCACTCACTGGAGAAGACCCTGATGCTGGGAAAGATTGAAGGTCAAAGAAGATGGGGACTGCAAAGGATGAGATGGTTAGAAAGTGTCATAGATGCAACGAACATGAAATTGAGCCAACTTCAGAGGATGGCGGAAGACAGGAAGGCCTGGCGGGATCTGGTCCATGGGGTCGCGGAGAGTCGGACTCGACTGTGCGACTGAACAACAACAACACTGGACTCCAACTTTGTCCTGTCGCTTCCGACCAACACTGCTGCCCAACTGGATCTATCTTTTCTATTGCTTCCTGCAGACGGACATGGCTACTCGTTGTGATCCATCTCCACGGATGGTCCAAGCTGGCCTGAACTCGTTTTGGAAGCTAAGCAGGCTCTGGTTAGGCATTTGGATGGGAGACCACCAAGGAAGCGCAGGATCACCATGCAGAGGTAGGCAAGGGCAAACCACCTTTGCGTATCTTTCGTCTTGTCCTGGACGGCCCAGCAGAAAAGAACAAGAGTCCAGGAGCACCTGAAAGACTATCTGAAGAGGTATCTGGAGAAATATACCTGAAGAATGTGAAGAAGTGGGCAGTGACCCCCCCAAGGCTTCTCCCCTGCCACAAAATTTGTTAGTCTTTAAGGCGGCTCCTGGACCAGAGTTCCCTCTAAGCTGAGTTAGCGTGAGCTAGCTCACCGTTTTTTAGCCTCCAGCTCACAGATTTTTGTCTCCGCTCAGGAAGGAGGGCTCCAGAGCAAACTGATTTATGCAGCAGCCAAATCGCTCGTTCACAACTTTAATGCTAGCCGCTCACAAAGTAGAGGGAGCATTGTCCTGGACTCTTGCTCTTTTCTACTGCTACAGACAAACTATCATGGCCACCAGTGCTCCCTCTAAGCTGAGTTAGTGTGAGGTATCTCACACTTTTATTTAGCCTCCGGCGGCTCACACTTTTCCTCTTCGCTCAGGAAGGAGGGCTCCAGAGCAAACGGATTGATGCAGTCGCCAAATCACTCGCTCACAACTTTCATACCAGTGGCTCGCAAAGTAGAATTTTTGCTCACAAGACGCAGCAGCTTAGAGGGAGCATTGATGGCCACCCATCTTGATCCGTCTCCATGGATGGTCCAGACTAGCCTGACCCAGGGGTCGTTTCGTAGAAAAAGAGCTAGGGGAACTCATTAGCATAACTCATTAGCATATGCCACACCCCCTGACATCACTGGAAGTGTGTCATAAGGCCACACCCCCTGACATCACCGGAAGTGTGTCATAAGGCCACACCCCCCGCCCCCAACGGTCCCGGCCGACGCCACCAGCCTTGCAGCTCCACTGCTGAGCCCCATGAGGGGCCCGGCGGTGGACCTCCAAGGCCGGCGGGAGTGCTAGGAAGCCCCGCGAAGGCCCTCCCTGGCCCCAGGCAGGCAGGGGTGGGGAGAGGCAGGGAGGAAGCAACTTACCCTCCCTCTTCTCCTGCCTCCTCCTGGCTGAATGAGGGCCGGAAGCGGGGCGGCCGGAAGCAGGGGGCGGGGCTTCGTCATGTGCCCCACCCCCCGTACCTCACCCGGGGGAACTGCGATCCCCCGCGATCCCCCCCCGAAATGACCTCTGGCCTGATCTCTTCTTGGAAGTTAAGCAGGGTCAGCTCTGGTTAGGCATTTGGACGGGAGACCACCAAGGAAGCACGGGGTCGCTATGTAGAGGCAGGCAGTGGCAAACCGCCTCTGTAAATCCCGCACCTCCAAAACCCTACCAGGTCAACCTAAGTCAAGGGTGACCTGATGGCGCTTTCCACCACCAAAGTGAAAGAACGTGGAGGCTGAGAGAGCTACAGAGGGTGGCCGGCAGGCCTCGGACCACCGGGGCCGTACCATCAGGGCGTCGATGAGTTCATCGTCGTGCTTCCCTTTGTCCAGCAGGGTTGAGATCTGCTCCTTCAGGGTTTTCACTTCGCTGGACAGCACTTGGTTCCTCGCTTTGGAAGCGTCCAGCTTCTTTTTCACCTCCTCGTGGTCCTTCTGGAGGGCGCTGTGCTCACTGGTAACCTTCTGCAGTTAAGGAAACGGAGGGAAGTCAAACTCAGGGCTTGGTGACATTTTGGCTGCTCCTAAGAAAAGTGGTCCATCTAGTCCAGCCTCCTGCCTCACACGGTGGCCAACCAGTTCCTCTGGAGGGCCAACAACAAGCCGTGGAGGCCGAGGCCTTCCCCTGATAAGAGCCTCAGAAGAGCCCTGCTGGGTCAGACCAGGGAGGGTCCCTCTAGTCCAGCCTCCTGCCTCACACAGTGGCCAGCCAGTTCCTCTGGAGGGCCAACAACAGGGCAGAGAGGCCGAGGCCTTCCCCTGA